GACGAGGAGGATGCTAGACTAGAAGAGGATGCACGGGCTGAGACCAGGACTTTCTCCGTTAGACCCAGTGATAGCTCAACAGATCATGACTTTTCTGAATCGGTTGGTCGGCTCTTGAGTGCTTTCCACAGTGCAAGCTGCTAAACCTCCAATCAACCACCCCATTGTTGTTGTAGTTCCCAAGGTGTATGGAGCATTACGCACTGATGCCTTCTTTTATCCCCTATTGGGTCCTGTGATGACTGGTACTGAGCACGGATGTTGACTAACTTTCTGAAGTTGAAGACATCTGTGTTCCATAGTTCTGAGAGTGAGGATGCTTATGAGTTCATTTTGGAATTCTATGAGAGGCTTCACAAGTTAGGAATTGTACACCAGTATAAAGTAGAGTTCGTGACCTTATAGTTTCAAGTGGAGGCTAAGCAGTGGTGGAGGACCTATAAGGAATGCAGACCGCCAGTCTTTCCCCCACTCACTTGGATGCAGTTTCATGACTTGTTTCTAGAGAAGTATGTTCCCTAAACTTTGGTGGATCGCAAGAAGGATGAGTTCATAGCATTGGAACAACGTTTTATGACTGTAGCTGCTTATGAGGCTAAGTTCCATTCCTTGTCAAGCTATGCTACACAGTTTGTAACTACAGAGGAGGAGAGGATTCGTCTATTCGTCAAGGAATTGAACCCCGAATTACAGGTATTGTCTGTTCACATGACCTCTGAAAGTAAAAGTTTTGATGAGGTGACAAACTTTGTGAAGAAAATGGAAGGAGTTCGACGTGATGGGCAAGACAAGGCTTTGGCTAAGAAGCCTAAAACACAGGTATCTTTCATGGTTCCTACTCCAGAGGTTCAGGTAGGCCGGCACTTGCAGCCCGGCCAATTGAGTCAGCCATGCTTGCTTCTATAGGTGGTTACTTGGGAACTTCACAGCAAAATCCTATTCGGGATAGACAAGGAGTCGCACATGCGTCTTGCAGCAGGCCATCTTTTGACTGCAGTTGTTTTAATTGTGGAGAGCCTGGAGATATGAGGAGAGATTGTCCCCATCAGTGCATGTCTAACCCCATGCGACAACCGACTAGAGGAGTCGTACCAGCGGGCAATGATAGTAATGGTAGATGGAGTCCACAATGTGGGCGAAGAGAAAATCAGTAAGGTTGTGGTGGCCAGGGAAATGGTAATGCAGGTAGGGGAACAGTGCACCTAGGGAAGGAGGTTGCCCTTCAAGATGAGAGAGCTCAATTTTATGCCTTTCCGGGCAAGACTGAGGCTGACAAATCTGATTCAGTAATCACATGTTCTATTCTTTTCTATGACCGTATGGCTACTGTTTTGTCTTATCTAGGTTCTACCTATTTGTAACACCCCAAATTTTCAGAACGTCTAAATTAACTCGTATCTTCGTAGAAAGACAAGGAGGGTGAGTAATAAATTAAAAATGATGTGGCATGTCATATTTTAAGTTTTCAAGAGTTGTATCTGAAGTTTTGAAGTTAAGTAAGTGGCAAAATAAAAGTTGGTGAAAGTTATCATTAGTTCCTTTTTAAAGATTTCTCTAAAATTTAGGTCAAATGTCTTAGATGTTTTCTCCCAATTCATAAAGAGTTAGAAGACCTATCACCCATTAACTCGAAGGCCTACGAGTCTAGTTTGCAACGCACAAAACCCCGTATTAAACCGACATCAGAGTAAAAAGTTCTAAGGGTTTTACTAGGGACTGCCAGGGAAGAATTTGGGTCGGGTCAAAAACATGGAATGTCGGCTTATTTGACGTTTTAAGCCATGAAAATATTTCATTTCAGTTTGCAAACCAGAGAGAAAGCTTAAGAGAGGGTTCCTATGGAATTCTAGCATTATCAATGTTAGTTTTTGATGATTTCTACCATTAAACATTGCCCCCGTGCCTAGAAACGTAATCCCTACATGTGGCAATCGTTTTCCCTTCTATTAGCTGCATTTGGGGCTAGTTTTTGAAGATATAAATTTGTAGTTATTGGTGTTTCTTCAAGGTTTACACTTGGTTAGCTAAGGTAATCATCTCGGGACCCTTTTATGGTTGTTTTTATGAATTTCTATGGACGTTTCCACTAGTTGGGGCCATATGGCAAATTTGCCAATTTAAGATTAATTATGAACTGTTTATAGATGCATACCAGCTGTGTATATATAGTGTTTGCGAAGCTTAGGACATAAGGAACAACTTTCGTGAAGGAACTACGGTCTTTCGAGAGTTCATTGGAAAGGTATGTTAAGGCTATTCCCTACTTACGACATGTTTCCTTAAAGCTTAGGAGCAATGTAATTGGTTTGTTATCCTTGTTACACTTGTAGCCATTATTGTTGATTGTTGGCTGCTCGAGTTGATATAATCCTCCTTTGTCGGAATTCTTATTTAGTTAATAGCGTTCCTATGTTGGACAAGACTTAGAGACTATTTGTATAGGTTGCTTATAACTAAATTGCTCGCTTTTAGCGATTTGATTGTTATTGTTGCCCTTGGGGCTATTCTGGTAAGCTGCAGGAATGTGATCTATGCATAAAAGGGCTATGTTTTGCCTACAGGGCTATATGGATGCCTAAAAGGGCTATGAGTTGCCTACAGGGCTATATTGACTCCTAAGAAGGCTATGTGCTTCCTACAAGGCCATGTTGTTCCCTAAGAGGGCTATGAGTTGTCTATAAGCTATGTTGATGCCTAAGAGAGCTATGTGATGCCTACAGGGCTAAAATTAATGCCTAAGAGGTTTGTGTGACTGCCTACGAAGCTAGGGGACTATCGATAGTGGTATATAGGCTGATTGGCACCTTCCGGGCTTATGGGAGCCTGAGTAGGTGGCCTTGTGTGTTGTTTATACCTGCTGAGCTTATGGGGGATTGGTTAGGTTGTTGTTTTATTATTTTTGATGAGTTTAAATTTAGGAGCAGGTCAGCACACTTATCTTATCCTTGATTTATTTATCAGATTATTCCAGTATATCAGAATACCTCATCATAGTCTATTGCCTTTCATACTCGATACATTATTTTATACTGACGCCCCATTGCCTTAGGGGCGCTGCATTCATGTATGCATGTCCTGAAGACCGAGTAGACCTCCTCAGCAGCAGAATTGACTTTTATCCGGTTGGCTAGCCCCTTTCTTCCAGAGCTGCCACAGTTGGGAGGTTTGTTACCTTTTTGTTTTATATATCTTTATGGGTAGGCTGGGGCCCTGTCCCGCTAATCTTTAATACTCTTAGAGGCTTGCAGACTAGTGTGTGGGGTGTATAGCTACGTTATGGCCATACTACCCTATATTGTTGGTTTGCTGAAGCTTGTGAGCTATTTGGTGTATTTTATTGATATATACCTTCTTTTAGTTTTGGAATAGATATCATCGTCTCCTCGATGGCCCAATCAGGACTTCTGTGCTGGTTGGCTATTTATTTATATGATCTCCTGGGAGTAGCTGATTCTTTTATATATCAATTAACAGGGGCCTTGCCGGCCGAGGGCTTAGTTTTAAGCTAAGATATACTTGTTTGTTTTCTTGATATGTGTGGTTGCCATGCGCTAGTAGGAAATGGTTCAGCAGGTTCGAGTCGGGCCTGAGTATTGGCATTAGGAGCCAGTTGCGCCCCTCGAGCATGGGCTGTGACACTTTTCATATATGTCAGTTTAGTTTCCCTTGGGATTTGATGCTGTTTGTGATGTGCTCGACTCTCCCATCTATGTTTCTACCCAGTTGGAGAGTTTTTCATAGTCACCCATGTCTGTCGTGCCTATTTTGTGACTCTAGAGATCCTAGGTGGGAAAAGTTAAAGTGGGAAGGGGTGTACAAGCCTAAGCCAGCTAAGGTCATATCTTTCATTTAGGCTAGGAAACTGGTCAGGCAGGGCTGTTTGGCATATTTGGCTCATATTCGGGATGTTGATGCTTAGTCTCGCTCAATTGAGTCTATTCATGTAGTGTCTGAATTTGAGGAAGTGTTTCCTACCGATTTGCCTGGTATTCCTCCAAATAGGGACATGGATTTTTGCATTGACTTGGAACCGGGCACTCACCCTATCTCCATTCCTCCTTATCTCATGGCTCTGTAGAATTGAGAGAGCTTAAAGCTCAAATCCATGAACTTATTGATAAAGGTTTCATCCATCCTAGTGCTTTGCCATGGGGTGCTCCTTTCTTGTTTGTTAAGTAGAAGGATGGTAGTATGAGGATGTGCATAGACTTTAGACAAGTGAATAGGATCACCATTCGAAATAAGTATCCATTGCCTTGGATAGATGATTTCATCTACAAGTAGCAGGGTGCACCAGTTTTCTCTAAAATTTACGTAAGGTTTGGTTCTCATCATTAAATATTAGGCCTGAGGATTTACCCAAATTGGCATTCAAGACCCACTATGGGCACTATGACTTCTTAGTGATGTCCTTTGGGTTGACCAATGCGCATGTAGCCTTTATGAGTTTGATGAATGGTGTGTTCAAACCATTCCTGGATTTTTTGTTATCGTCTTTAATGATGACATTTTGGTTTATTTAAAGAGTAAGGAATAGCATTTTGACCATCTTCGTATTGTTTAGGGTATCCATGGAAAACAGAAGTGAAAAATTTTGCTTCTATCACAACACATTTTACAACACTGACCAAAAATGATGTGCCTTTCGAGTGGATTGAAAAATGTGAAGAGAGCTTCCAAAAGTTCAAGACTCTTCTAACCACAACACCTATTTTAACACTACCGGTGGAAGGTAACGATTTCTTTTTTTATTGTGATGTTTCACATTCGGGCATGTGTTCTGTGTTGATACAAAATTAGAATGTCATAGCTTACGCATCACGACAACTGAAGGTGCATGAGAGAACCTCACACATGACTTGGAGTTGGCAGCTGTAGTTTCTACTCTCAATATCTGGCGGTATTACCTTTATGGTGTCAAGTGTGAGGTGTTTACTGATCATCGTAGTTTACAACATCTATTCACTTAGAAGGACCTGAACCGGAGACAGCGAAGGTAGATGGAGTTACTCAAGGATTATGATGTTACCATCCAGTATCATTCGAGTAAGGCTAATATGTTGGAAAGTGCATTAAGCCGAAAGACGGTGAGTATGGGTAGTCCAACTTGCTTGGGTGTGTCCAAGCAACCTTTGAACAAAGAGATTCAAACCCTGGAGTCTGGGTTCATACCGTTGGGCATCTCAGAGAAAGGTGGAGTGTTAGCCAGCATTGCGGTTAGGCCCACATTCATTGAGGAGATCAAGGCCAAGCAGTTTGAGGATGTGAGTTTGAATGAGCTCAGAAAGAAGACAGTTTCTGGCAAGCCACGAGATGCAGCTCTTGATGCAGGCCGTGTGCTATGTTTTAATAGAAGTATTTGTGTTCCCCGAGTGGATGATTTGATTCAGAAGATGTTGACAGAATCCCATGGTTCACAGTGTTCCATTCATCAGGGTGTAACCAAGTTGTACCGTGATTTGAAACGATTTTATTGGTGGCCTGGCATGAAGAAACACATAGCTGAGTTTGTGGCTAAGTGCCAAAACTTTCAGCAGGTAAAGTATGAGCACCAAAGGTGTACAAGTTTGCTTCAACGAATGCCAATATGGATTTCATGGCTGGTCATCCAAGACCTTGGGGAAGTTTGACTTTATTTGGTAGTGGTTGACAGATTGACTAAGGTTTATGTGAAGGAGATAGTGAGGATGCATAGGGTACCCATTTCAATCATCTCGGATCGTGGTACGCAGTTCACATCCCACTTTTGGTGAAAATTGCATGAGGAGTTGGGCACTCAACTCACTTTTATCACAACCTTTAGTCCACAGACGGAAGGGCAGTCAGAGAGAACTATTAAGGTGTTAGAGGACATGTTGAGGGCATGTGTGATTAACTTTGGAGGGCTTTGAGATAAGTTCCTACCTTGTGTGAATCTCCTATATTAACAATTACCACTCCAGCATTGACATGGTACCGTTCGAGGAACCTTATGGGATGGGATGTAGATCTCCCATAGAGTGGTTTGAGGCTGGAGATGTGAAACTTTTGGGGTTGATTTGGTGAAAGATGCTTGGGATAAGGTGAGAAGCATCTAAGCGAAGCTTCTAGCCTCCTAGAGTCGACAGAAAAAGTATGTAGACCGCAAGATAAGAGACATGACATTTCAGGATGGTGAGCAAGTTTTTCTTAAAGTGTTACCCATAAAGGGGGTGAAGTGATTCGGCAAGAATGGCAAGCTTAGTCCTCGACACATCAGGGCATTTGAGATTCTTGATTGTGTAGGGCCATTGGCTTATTGGTTGGAATTTCCTCTTAGCGTATCTGTAGTCCATCCACTATTTCATGTGTCCATGTTGAAGAAGTATCATGGGGACGAAGATTACATCATAAAATGGGACTCAGTTTTGTTAGACAATGACGTTGAGTATGGGGAAGAACTGGTTGCAATTCTTGATTGAAATGTCCGAAAGCTGAGGACCAAGGAGATAAACTCCATGAATGTTCAATAGAAGCATCGTCCGATTGAGGAACTACTTAGGAAACCGAGAAGGACATGTGAGACAAGTATCCCCAATTATTCAACGATTTTGGTAGTACTTTGCTCTTGCCATAGCCAGTTCTCTTACTTAATCACTCAGTGAGGAGTGATCGGTAAATTGGTATCTATTGTAACAACCTGTTCCCATCGTTATGGAAAAGCCAATAGGGAAGGAATTTATACCATTAAACTTATGAGTTGTAACTTGGAAATATCTAGCCTAAGCCAGACTTGGACGAAATTTGAGTCAGGTGAGATCTAGGGAAATCCGGTAATGGATAGGGGATTTAATTATAAGTTTGATCACGTGACTAGATATCCAAGAGGCTAAGTAGCCTGTACGGTTTTACGGAATCAAATTCGGGTGAGTAAAACTCCTGAAACTGATCTTGGCGTGATAGGATAGTTTTAGAACATCAAGGTTTGAAGGTGTGTTGCGAAATGGGAGCTTAGAACTTAAATTCTGAGTTTCTGTCTCCATGCAAGCTACCAGGGCAGAGCCACTGTGGCTGGATAGGACCTGCTTTGGAGCCAATCGTGACGTAAACGGGGGAAAATCCCCAAACGTTATTTTCTGCAAAACCTCATTATTAAGAGCTTAAGGAACGACCTAGGGCAGTTTCTCATCAAATTTCCACGAATTCTCGCACCAAAGGTTAGATTATTACTCCCCTAATCAGTATTTCAATTCTTAGAATCCTTATTAATTATTGTTGGGGAGGGTTTTGTCCTGAAGTTGATTGTGGGAAAAGCCCTAGAACATTAGGATCATGGGTTTTGCCTTGGGTTTATAGTATGATATAATCTGGGTAAATTAGGCCTTGCTTATTGATCCTTGCATTTATTATTTGTTTTAGACAAAAAAAAAACTTCAAGACTCTGGAAAAGGAACACTCAAGTGTCTTAGAAGTATTCAGGCCTCGTTTCTGTAACATCCCGCCTTAGAAAGAACTAGAATTTTAAACAATTAATTTTGGAAAGAATGAAAATCTGAAAGTTGGAAAGTTTTGCTAAGTATGAGTTTTGTGTCAACCTCAAATGACGATAACTTTCAGTATAGGATGATTTAAGTGTTCCATAAGATGGAAAATGAAAGGTCTTGGCATCCTCTTTCTAACGCCACTGAGTTTGTTAATTTTCGAGCTAGTATGAGAGAGATATGTCCGTTTGAAGTCGGGCTGTCCAGTTAAAGCAAGTCTCCCAGAATTAAGACGGGTATTTTTGTCTTTTCCTTACCCTATCAGATTTAATTCGTTTTTAGTAATTAATTAGGGGTCTAAAATGATTTGGTTCAGTTTACACAATTACAATTTACGCTAGGGCTTTGAGAGAAGAGAAAAGAGGAGAAAAAGCCAAGGTTTTGTCACGTTCTTGAGATTTCGATTGTGGATTTCACCAAGGGTTAATCCGTAAGAGGTATGTGAGTTCACATACCATTGGGTTGATTCAACCACGCACCTATCATGATTTAATTTAGCGAAATTACGTTCTTGAAAGTAAAGGACTTGAGTTCTTGATGAGTCTTGTTGAAATTTCCTTCATTATCTTGATTGTTGAGATTTTGATGTGTTCTTGAGATAATCATATGAGTTTTAAGGTGGTTTTTGAGTAGATTCTTCTACACTAAAGTTGGGTATTCGAATCAAAGTGATTGGGAAAGAAACCATTCTATTCTAAGTGAATTAGCGTTAGAAAACGAGTAAGAGAATTCATCAAGTTTTCTAGGAAAAGGGGTGGGGCGCCACGCCACTCAGTACGCCACAACTTTACTTCTGTAGTTCAGGCTCTGGCACCCTGCGCCACTCAGTATGCCAGCTCCTCTACCCTTTCCCACTTCTTTCCATTTGAGTTCCTTTGAATCGTTCCTATGTTTTCTAGTTGATTTCTAGACTCTATCGTACATATAAACATCATGAGATCATCCATAACATGAGATCATAACCCTTGAATCCATAGTTCAAATTCAAGGAAGAGCTAAGAGTCAAGTCTAGAGAGTTTATTGAAGTCTTTTCAAAAGTCTTTTCCAATCATTATAAACTTGTTTTAAAGACTTAAGCATTGAGTTTGACAAAGAGTATAGCCAAGTTCATTTCTTTCAAATTATATATGGGAACTAAGTATTCCATAAGAGTAAATGTTTTCACATTTAAGATTAGAGGAAACACCGATTTCCAAAAGAGTTTTCATGAGCTGTTTTCGTACCACCTCTTTTAAGAGAAAAATATTTTGAATAATAATCTCAAACAACAGAAAAAGTTAAGTTTTTAAACATATGAGCTAGTTACATTTTGGGAGTAGTATTGAGCACCGATATGGGGCGAGTTCAGATAACGTAATCTCCATAAATCATGTAGTCAGCGTGGGTAGAAAGGGTCATACTTTTTATATGATTCCTTAATTCATTTTAGCATAGACTAGTGGATCCACTTAGTAGTAGGTTCTATACCCCGGCAAAGTATAGGACAGCTCTGGCAGTGTGGGTTAGACGTTGTATCATCACATAGCTCATAATGATTGTTGTTAGTTAGAGAATCTCCCACAGAGTTACTTGTATTTTCATATACAAAACTAAGTGATTGTTGTGTATTTTTATACACTGAGTTGTTATATACATGCTTTAAAGTTTTTCTTTATATTGCACCATTATTATTTCATTATATTGAAGATGAGTTGAGTTGAGAATAGGTATGTGTTTCTTGCGGATTCCAGTTCAAGCTTATATCTTGTTTAGATTCCCCCTCACATGCTCGTACTTTAATGTACTAATGTCATTTTTCTTGGATCTTCTTATTATGTAGATACAGGCCATCAAGATCAGCATCCAGCGCTTCGTTGATCCTATTTAGTATATCAGAGTCATTTGGTGAGCCTCTTTTCTTCTGGAGGATCCCTTTAATATTGCTTTGTCATTTTAGTTGTTAGGATAATCGGGGGTCTTGTTCCAACATCCCTCAGAGTATTAGAGGCTTCATAGATGGATAGTTATAGTTCATTAGTCTTTCCATTTTGAGTTGTTTATTTTAAGATTTGAGTTGCCACTTTGGATAGTTGAATGTTTATTTTTAAAACATTCTAAGTTTATCTATTGATATAGTTTAGTTATGATTGTTTTCAGTACATTTCATTGTTGAGTAACTCTTCCGCTGAGAGTTTAGCAAAGCTAAGGGTTCGCTTGGTGCCAATAATAGTTCTCGACTGCCAGTCCCGCCCAAGGTGTAGGCTTGGGGCATGACAAACTTGGTATCAGATCACAAAGTTCAGGAGTCCTAGGGTGTCTACGAAGTCGTGTCTGTAGAGTCCTAGGTATCAGTGTGAAGAGCGCCACATGTATAATTAGGAGGCTGTAACATTTAGGAATTATCTCACTTCTTTCATACTCATTTCATGCGATAGAGTTAATCTCTCTAAAGTTTATTTCTAACTGGTGCTTGCGCGTATCTTTCATACCATACCTCCAAGAAGAGTTGTCCTAGGTCATCCTGCAAGAATGAAAGTTAAGGATGAAGTGGTACCTAATGCACGAAAAGTGAACTCCCAATGAGAGGTCAGTAATGCTGAGTTCCGTGAAGCTATCTGGATGTTGATCCAAGTCGTGACCAACCAAGATGGACAACAAAGAGAGAATCGATATGAAGTGGCTGATACTTCTAGGATCCGTGAGTTCTTAAGGATGAATCCTCCAAGCTTCACTGGTTCCATCATCACTGAGGATCCGGAAAACTTTATAGAGGAATTGCAGAAAGTGTTAAAGGTTATGCATATTGTTGATGCTAAGCGAGTGGAACTAGCTGCATACCAACTGAAAGGTGTTGCTTAAATATGGTTTGACCAATGGAAGAAGGGTAGAGCCGAGGTTGCACCGATTGTGAGCTGGGTTGTCTTAGAAAGTGCCTTTATGGGGCATTTCTTTCCCCGTGAGCTATAACGACCCAGAAAATTAGTAAGTAAACAAGAGACTAAATGTGAGGGTTAACCTCAAGGGTTAAGGGCAAGGGCTAAGGTTTTTGGGTGAAGGCCATGGTTAGGGGACAAAGGCTGCCTAAAACTAGGCCTAGCCACTGCCCACCATAACTACGTGGGTCTTCACGACCTGTGGTGGCCACCACGAGT